GCACAGTAATCAAGGAACTAGGAAGCTTAATCTCATACTCGGATACTATATAAGGCTGAAGTTGGTTCCTAGTTTTCATTTCATTGATTTGAAGTGGCCAAATCTTGAACAGCTACATGAATAGCTCGAGTAAGAATGCAGTCCCAAGTCATGTTTCCTTTATTTAATGTATTTATTGAGAGCTACAATTATTTGCATGTATGAAACAGAAACAATAAACAAATAAAACTCTGGATAAGAGAAAAGGCCCAATGCTACAATGGCATGAACTAACATATTATTCTCTGTCACTATGGCTGTAAAATAGAAGGCAATCACTGTAACCACATTCATCAAACTGAGGGACTTAGAGCATCATGAACAACATTAACTAATTATAATTTCAAAGACACTTGTATAATTAATAGTCTTTCTAAACTGTTGCAAATTGGGCTGTCAAGTCTTTATGAAAAATAAAACTACTCCATTCTGCCCCCTACCCCCAAAAGGGGCCTGTTTTGTTTGTTGATAATTCAGATTTGATCCCTAAATTCCTCTGCAATGGCATTTTGCAAAGTTTATTGTACCAGAGATCTATAGAGTCCTATTGCTCTTCCACAACCATGTTACCACAAGCCTGGCAGCTAACATATTTATTTAAGTCCTAAAATACTATGTTTCCCCATGCAACTCAGACAGTTGAAGCAGCATTAATTTTGGTGTTTTAAGAACTGTTTCCCAAGTTACATTTATTTCCTTGAGTACCTCATCCAAAATCTCATGACTTGTGGCACTCCCCATTGACCACAAGTCTCCAACAGCCAGGAGACACTGATAGGCATGCTGGGTACAACCTCACTGGAGTATAATGTTTTTAATTTATCTTCTCTCATGTATGCAGAAACAGTTATAAGCAGCTTCACCTTCCAGATGCTATTCCATTAACTTGGTACAATCTCCTCCCCCAAAGCACCCTAAAACTAGCCATTTCTCCAGTTGTATCTTCTGTTAATGCAGAGTTTAAACTCATCTGCCATGCCCCAAATCAAGGCCTCAAAGCTTACTCCTTAAAACCCCATCGGAAAGAAAATAACTGATTTGATGAACAGTAAGACTTGGATATTGGCCAATTTATCTCTGAACTGTTCTTCCATAAGTGGACAGATATTGACAGTGATATAGCTATCACACATAACTAACACTTTGTGGAAGGTTTACCTTTTGAACATAGCTATTCTGCCTAAAAGGGCCAACTATAAGCTTCTTTACTTTCCTAATTCTTTTGAGCACTGGGTACAGTTGATGGCAGGTGGCTAGAATGGTGCTGCTTTTCCACCAGTTTAAAGCACTACTGGTTTTGTGGGGATTCTGCTACAGCAGCTAGACCAACCTAGACCTGGTAAACCAAAAGACAAAATAAACCTCATCCTCACTCAAGCTGCAAATGTTTCAAATGTGATGAAGGATCCACTGCTCCACTGACTCCAGCCAAGGTTAGAATTGTTCTGCTACAGGTATTTAAGGCTTATAAACCTCTGCACCTCATCATAAGCTTTGAGTCATCCCAAATCACATACCAGTATCTGGGAAACTGTACTCTTTAGGATGCTCTAGCACTATTTCTGGCCTAAGCACTGGTTTCACACAACACACTGAGAAATAAGCAGCTAAAGGTGTTACAGTGAAAAGGGTCAGGCCACCTGACTTACATTCCTGTGCATGCCCCCTACAGGAGCATCCCCAATGAGATTTCTGAACACTGTATTCAGCCCAATGCAGTGGCATAGTGTGGGTTGCTGGCACCTGGGACGGTGTTGCACCGTTCTGGTGGACTGGACAGTTTTTGGGGGGTGTACCAGGGGTCACATGCAGAGTCCATGCAGAAGATGGATGGAACCTGATTCCAACAGGCTTCTTGACTGCTGCCTCCATCCACCTGCTCATTAGACATGCCTCAGCTGCTAGGGCTCTGTGCCTGTCATGGGGGCGCCTGATTGCGCCCCCTCAAAAATGTGCATCCAGGGCAATAGCTCCCCTGGCCCAATGCTCTGTGAAACATGCTTTCAAATGTGATGCTTTCCATGCAGCCATGGCTAATAAATCTATGACTGGGGGCTTAAAATACATTTCTGGTTTTTTGGTTTTTTTTTAATCATAATCAAATGTATATGATCCAAGCGAAATCTGGAGAAAGCTTGCTTGCCTCATAATGGGAAAATGTGGAAATATTTCTTGACTCCTAAAGGCTGACAAGATTTTAGGAATCTTACCTAATTCCAATGCCTTCAAAGCTCTATCCACACACACATTAAATACTTTTAATTTAAATATATGGTATTTGAGAAGGGCACATGCTGAGGATGTCTGGTTTCAACTATGTACCTCCGAATGTAACTGGAGGAGCAGCTTGTTCCAAGAGTCTTGTTAGTTCAGAATTTGCATAGTAAGCACACATTGCTAGAACACACATATAAAAGCCCATCTACTGCAATTGTTAGAAATAACTTTGTGAGGGAGGCAGTCTACTGCACCCTGCATTTTTTTGTATCTGAGCTGTCTCACAAAATCTTTAAAGCATTGCTTCCTTGCAAACAGCTGCTTTCTAACAGTTTCTACAGTTTCAACTCTCTTCTTCCCTTGCCTCTATACTTGCCACAGCTCTTGGAACATTGCTGTAGAACTGCTTCACAACTGCAGAAAAGATCTCTATGTAATTTTACAATTAAAAAGTAGAAGAACAAAACAACCTGTACGTTTGCAAACCTGCATTCACGATGTTTGGAACGATGGTGCCCAGATGTGGATAAAGAACCAGCAAGTTCTCTCACATAGGTGTTGCTACAGTTTTAAGAGAGGTGGAATATATTTTGTGGCTGGCCCAAGAGTGGCAGATATTTAGTCAGAGCTCTCCTGACCTGCCAGTGTATCAAACCTATTTCTTGCTTTCTCAATGGACTTATTATTTAAGACCAAGGGATGTCAAAGCAACTCTAGGGAAACACAGCTATTGTGTTTGCCTGTGCATGTGCAGGTTGCAACCTGAATAGCAGGGTGTGTCATCACAGCATGGGTGTTTCTACAGCTCAGTTCCTTCACTGCACGACTTAAAAATCCTGGTCATTTTCCTGCCTAGAAGGCATATTTTTATTCACTTAATTTATTTTACTACTGAACCTGAACACAACTTCTTGGGAAAAACTTTTGGGCCCTTCTCTATGGATTTGGTGACTACACCGAGTTGCAACAGGCCACCAAAAAGAATACTCCTATAAAGCCTTTTGTAAAACAAATAATTATCCACTATCACTTTAGATAAGGGACGCGGGTGGTACTGTGGGTTAAACCACAGAGCCTAGGACTTGCCGATCAGAAGGTCGGCGGTTCGAATCCCTGCAACAGGGTGAGCTCCTGTTGCTCGGTCCCTGTTCCTGCCAACCTAGCATTTCGAAAGCACATCAAAGTGCAATTAGATAAATAGGTATTGCTCTGGCAGGAAGGTAAATGGCGTTTCCGTGCGCTGCTATGGTTCGCCAGAAGTGGCTTAGTCATGCTGGCCACATGACCTGGAAGCTGTACGCCGGTTCCCTCGGCCAATAAAGCAAGATGAGCGCCGCAACCCCAGAGTTGGCCATGACTGGACCTAATGGTCAGGGGTCCTTTTTAACACCTTAAATAATTTTCCTGCAATATTATTTATTTCATCATTTACCAAAAACAAGTGTACCAGTTCCCAAATATTCAGAATTTGAAACCTTGATTAGGCACCTCGGCCTACACAAGTAGCATCTCCCTCCACACCGACGGTAAATCCTGCTGGTTTTATTAATACGTTAACCATCCCTTCTCCAAAGTCCAGAGGGCAATGTTTTGAAAAAAACCCAACAACAACCCTAGATATAAGGGTTTTACTAAGGCAGCCACTTACCCAGGATACATAAATTTATGTCCAGTTACCATGACCATACCTATGTTGAAAATTCAACACCGCTAGAGATTTTCCAGTACACTTAATCACTGTTCCGAAATGGGTGCCACACTTTTGCCCAGAGGACCAAGGAGGCTTAGGTTAATACTGAATATTTTCCAAGTGCCAACACAAACAACCGCCTTCGCTTTCCAGTAAGCAACCCACAAAAAAACTTGCAAAACAGTCGCCAAGTCAATACCTGGCGAGCAGCTGCTGCCCAGCCAGTGACAGAAATCAGCGTCTTATTGATTTTTAATGACGCGTGTCTAAACCTGGAGATTCAATTTCACGTGGGAATGCAGCGCTTTCAGAGAGGCCCGCCTCCCCGCCATCTAAGGGCTCGGACGTACCACGCCAAAAAAAAGAGCAGATTCGCCGCCCAGCCCGGCCGGGAACTCCGCCCCGCGGCCTTTCAAGGCGAGGGCGTGCGTCTCACTCCGCCTCACCATTGTGCTCCTCCGCTTTGGTGGCCTTGCGCCTGAAAGACCGGCGTCATAATATTCAGGCTCTCGCGAAGGCACACTCGGGAGACGGGCGTGAGCTGCTTTAGCCGCTTGCCGATCAGGCGCTCTGCGAGGGCAGCCCTAACGGATGAGGACCCCGCTCCCTCCCTCAGCCCGGTCGCTCGCCCCCTCCTTTTTTTGCTCCGCCCCGCGCGTGCGCGTGCGCTCTTCGCCTTCCCTCCCTCCTCTTTCTCTTTCCCCTCCGTATCTCGGCGCAGAGGTAACAAGGAGGAGCGGTGAAAGTGACGGGGCTGGAGTGGGCAGAGGCGGCCGTCCCCCTCCCCCCCTCGCGCGCGCAGGCACACACATTGGGCCGTCCCCTTCTTGCCCTCCCGCGCGCCCTAGGGATACCCATTTCCATTCTCTCTCACACACGTGCGCGCGCACCAAACACACACGGTGAGGAAGCGGGAGCGAGGAGTGAAAGGAGGGACGGACGGACCGATGGGAGTGTGGGGGGGGGCGCTGTCGGAGAAAGGATTGAGATAAAGGAGGGGTGGCTCCTCCAAGACTGTTGGGCGGGAGGATGAGGGAACGGCGCTGCGGGCAGGCCGACGGTCACGTGGGCATTGCCGAGCACGCGCCCGCGCGAAGGGCTGCCTTTCTTTTTTTTCCCCTCCCTTCCGCTGACGGACCTTACAAGTCAGGTTGCCTTAGAATCGCTGGGCGCGCGCCGACAGGTGCGGTCTGAGTCGCGCGTTCGAGAAAAGGGGGTGGGGAGATAATTAAAAAAACAGAATAAAAGGATTCCCGGCAGGAGGCGTTTCCTTTCTCCCCCTCCCCTCGCGCGCCGTGTCCCCTCCGGCGGCCCGTCCGTTCGCCCGCTTCCCTTCAAGGGCTGACTCTCGCGCTCTCTCTCTCTCCCCCTCCCTCCCCTTCGAATCCCGTAACGCCGCGCTCTTCTCTCCTCAGTTAAGCGATGCCCTCGGCCACCAGCAGCGCGATGGCGAGCAGCGGCAGCAGCGGCGGCGGCAAAACGGGGAACGAGGCGGCGTCGGTGGCGCCTCCGGCAACGGCAGCCGCGGCAACGGTAGCTGCTGGGGCGGCTCCATCCCAAGCGGCGTCGGCGTCGGTTCCGGGCGGCAGCACGAGTTCGGTGCAGACCGAGGCCATGAAGCAGATTCTGGGCGTCATCGACAAGAAGTTGCGCAACCTGGAGAAGAAAAAGGTGCGGAGGCGCAAATCCCCCCCATCTCTTCTCCCCCCCCCCCACCGGCCGATGCCGCTATCTTATCTTGTGGGGCCGGGCGGGAGGCGTAGTCGCATATCGCCGTGCCTTCCCTTCGGGGCCCTGCCGGCCTGCCCCGCCTTTTGTTTCCGCGGCCGAGGGGAGGCGGCGCGGCCTTCTCCCTTTGTTCTTTTTTCCGCCCCGAACGGGACGCATTTGGGGGCCGTTGGAGCCGGGGGCTTAGCTGCCTTTCCAATCCGCCCCCCGCCCTCTCCTTGTTTCCCGCCCGAAGTGAGGCTTTGAAGGCTCGGTGGCGGCCGAACTACCAGCGACCCTCTTTCTCCTCTCTACTCTTCCCGCCTCTCTTTCTCTCCCCCCCCCGGTGCACATGGAGCCGGCCAGGACCCAACATGGCGGCGGCGAGAGGCAGCGGTTCTTCCCAGAGAGGGAGGCTTATTGTGTGAGCGACGGCGGGTGCTGCACAAAGGCCCGGCAGGCTTCCTTCCTGCCAGAGACGCGCAGCCTCCGCTCTCTGTGTGCGCGCAACACCCCACCTCTCCCTCCCCCGTGCCCTCCCATTTTAGTTACTATTTCCATAATGTCGAAGCCGAGTCGTAGACGCCAGATGAAAACATGCCCTCGCTGCCCCGTTGAAGATGGGTGCGCCCTGGTTAACGGCGACGTTAAAGGCTCCGGCGTGTATGAAACGCCTCAGGCGGGCTGGCTGCGGCTCCGGCCCTGGGTGACGAGAGCTCAGGCTGCTTTGTTGGGAAGGGTGTCTGTCGCAAAGCCTAGGCCAGGAAGGGAAATCAGCCTCATGGGCAGCATTTTTAAATTATTGACATCTAAGTTGCCCTATGCTCTTTGTCAGAATTGCCTTTGCACCAGGGGCACAGTGAGACTTCCTCTCAAGTCAGCATGCATTTGATCAAGCTTTTGAGGGGAATACATGATTGGAAGCTGAGACTATGCTGCTGGAATAACCCATTCTAGTGAAAAGTTAGTCTCTTCCTTCCACAAAACTGATACATTGTATGGGTTTATAAAAATACTGGCACTACATTCCAGAGAATCATTCCAGTTCATCTGCATGTTCAGTGGAACTTAAATGGCATGCCACTTCTAAAGCACCAATGAGTTTGAAAAGCTAAATTATTATAGTTGTGATGGGGGTGATGTGATAAGAGTTCCACTGGCTGCACAGGAGTCTTAAAGACACCAAACTCTTTGTATCACGTTAATTTGGTTAATTTGGTTGCTTCCAAATGTCCCTAGGCGTATGATGTAAAACATCACACAAAAGGGATTGAGGGGGAGGAGGAAGAAAACCAATTTCTTAAGAGTTCTTGCAATGACCAGCTAGCATGGAGACCAAAATTATCAATGGGCTGGAGGAATTCCCTTGTGAGGAAGGTTAAGATTTATTCGTTGATGATGGGAGGGGGGCGGCGGTTAGAAAAAAACAAGTAGAAAGGGACATTATCAATGAATGGAATTATCCATGGCATGGAGAAAGCAGACAGGAAATGTCTCGTTTTCTCAGTGTTAAAACTTGGGGTAATCAAATGGAGGTGAATTTTAGAGGGTTCAGCACGGAGTATGGAATTTGCTACCACACAAGATGTAGTGATAGCTACCAGTTCAGCTTTAAAAGAGGATCAGGATCATGGTTGCTGGTCATGGTGGTGGCATACTGTTTCAATGATCAGAGGAGCAGTAGGCAGGAAGCAACAAGAGAGGACTGCTGTGTTCATGTGAAAACCAAAATGCTGCCTAGATAGGTCTTTGGCCTTATCTAGTTAAAGCCTCAGCGCCTAGGACTTGCCGATCGAAAGGTCGGCGGTTCGAATCCCCGCGGCGGGGTGCGCTCCCGTTGCTCGGTCCCAGCGCCTGCCAACCTAGCAGTTTGAAAGCACCCCCGGGTGCAAGTAGATAAATAGGGACCGCTTACTAGCGGGAAGGTAAACGGCGTTCCGTGTGCTGCGCTGGCGCGCCAGATGCAGCTTGTCACGCTGGCCACGTGACCCGGAAGTGTCTGCGGACAGCGCTGGCCCCCGGCCTATAGAGTGAGATGGGCGCACAACCCTAGAGTCTGTCAAGACTGGCCCTTATGGGCAGGGGTACCTTTACCTAGTAGGGCTCATGTAATTTTAAACCTGTTTGACTTCATTTATTTGGGAGTAATTACTGAATTTAGCAGAGTTTACTTCCAAGTAAAGGTGCATGGGAGTGCACCATTGGGTTAAATAGTATATATATTGAACCCAGAATCAAACTTTGATGTGCAAATCTTTAAAATGAAAATATTTCAGAACCCCATGTATAAACATCATATTTCAGGCTTAGGAACTTTTCTGTATTGACTTTTAGGAAGCTGCACATTTATTTTGGTTTTTATATTCACTTTTTCACTGAAAAAGACTACAAAATGGCATTGAATGTCCAGTACCAAAATTACCAACACATTATAAACAACACATGCAGTTAAAAGCAGAAGTAATAAACACAAACAAATTGTCCTAAAAACTCAAGACGTTATGGAAATGCACAGAATCAGGCAGCAATTAAAATATAAAGACTTGTAGATAAGAACATTTAAACAGATCCAACACAGGACTGGGAAAATAAAGATGTATTGATGTGATAGCGGGGAAAGCTCAGTAAAAGTGTAGGTGTCCATGCCACTAGGACAAGAAAGTTCCTTAACTGAGACTCAGCTATCACAAATGCCCTTTCTTTCATACCTGAACAACAGTGAATACTTGCTGGAAGTTGGGTGAGAACAACAAGCAATCCTCTGCTGAACTCAAGGCCAGGCAGGTCCCAAGTAGCTCAGGGCTTTATACGTCAGCGGCGGCATCTTAAATGAGGCCTAGTGGCATAAAGGCTGCCAGTGCAGATTCTGCAAGATACCATGTTACGCTACATCAAAATTCAAGCTGGCACTCTAGAAGTAGCGTTCTGTACCAGCTTCAGTTTCCAAACCATCTTCGGGGTCTGGCTGGAAAGTTACTAGAACTGCAGAACTGTGGCCAAGCTATTCTGGTCTAGGGAAGGCTGTAACTGGTGACCCGGCTGTAACTGGTGACCCAGCTGTAACTGGAAAAAGGTCTTCCTGGCCATAGAAGCCATTTGGGCTTCCAGTGACAAATATTGATCAAGGAACATCCTTAAATGACATGTTGGAGAGAAGTATAGATTAGATGACCTAAGATAGCCTACTACAAGCTGGTATATTCCAAATATTTTTGGACTGCAGCCCTCTCATCCAGTGTATTTCAGTTAGGGATAGGCATTGTAGGAGAAACAAACCTGCGACCGTAACTCAAGATGAGAGGTTGGGTATGGTGCATTTCCCAGAACTGGGAACAGAGAGATGAACAACTGACTGTGTAGGATTCATTTATTATTGGTCCCTAGTTTTTAATATGTGGCCCAAATATATGTGAACCATTTACAATTGGATTGTGGTGAGAGGACTGACCTGGTATGTATTATGGAAGGTTGGGTACTTGTTACAGCACCAGGCCAAACTGAGGGGAGTGGGTGCTGCCATTATCCACATAAGTACCATCTCCTTTACCAGAAAACCTTTTGACATTTGGGTGTGCTTAGAAGGTTTGCACCTGGTGTTGTACTGGAAAGACAGAATGGTGATGCTGCTGGTATATTGGCCTCCCTGCTGGCCAGTTGCTTGCCTGACAAAGATGTTCTCTAGCATGGTGCTGGAGGACCCCAGGACGATAGACCTGAGCAATTTCAGTACCCACATGGCTGTTGCTAGAGGGCCAGCTTGGGACTTCATGGCTTCTATGACAACCATGGAGGTGTCTTAGATGTCATCAGTTCAACACCCCAGGCAGGGCACATGCTTGATGCAGTTTTTTACCTTGAGTGATAGACTGAAGGTAGGTGGGTAAAATGCACTCCCTGGCCATGGACAGATAACTCTCAGGTAAACTTTGGCAAAATGGTGGCAATTCTCCCTGGCAAAGATGGTGGGCCTGTTTGAATGGCCACCCTTGGAGACTGATGAAACCTCGTGGGTTCCTGAACACACTGGGGGTTTTCTAGTAGAGAAATCTGCTGAGCCTGTTAAATTTCTGGTCTTTTCTATAGATGTTGAAATAATATGGCTGTTTGGTTGATACAATTGGTCCTAAGCATCCTTTCTGGTGTTGCAGAGCCCAACTGGCTCCTTGGTATTCTGGAGAGCTACAGGCAATGAAATGAGCTGGACAAAAGACTAGAGCCCAGATGGTACAGGACATAGTCTGAAGCCCACCAACAGTGGTTAGTGAACATAATTGTTCCTACCATGTGGCAGCACTGGTGGCAAAGAATGCATATTTCGCAGCTTGCATTACATCTAATAGCTGTTTGGCAGAGCTATTTCAGATCGTCCAAAGGTTGCTGACTCCCACTGTGGGGGAAGAACCTTTGGAGCATTCAGGGAGCTGCTGTGAGCAACTTGCTGCACACTTGGAGGATAAAGTTAGTTTACTTCAGAGTGACCTTGACACTGCTTTTGTTGCTCTTGTAGTCAAAGCAGCCAATGCCAGAGTCTGTGATCTTCGTGGAATTGGTTTTAGTTTATGCAGCCACATAAGGGCAAAGTGCTTGCACCTATACTCTCAACTATGTTCACAACTATGTGCCCATTTGACCCCTGTTCCTAAATCTAACAGAGTTTGACTGATTGTTTTCAGGATTTGTTAATGCATCTCTGTGTCAGAGTGTGGTTCCTGCTGATTCGAAAGGTGTGGTGGGATGACCACTCTCAAGGAAATTAGCCCTGGACCTTTTGGTTTGGAATAACTACCGTATTTTTCAGAAAATTGGACGCACCGGTCCATAGGACGCACCTAGATTTGGGGGGGGGAAATAAAGGCAAAAAAAATTTATTCCCCCCCCCCGCCAGGCGCGGGGCTGGGGCGGGGAAGCCGGAGCTTCCCCCTCCCCCAGAACGGGACCCAGAGCCATGCCGAAGCTGCGCGCAG